GCATATAATAATAATAATGACATCCAACAATAATGGCATATAGTAATAATAATGACATCCAATAATAATGGCATATAATAGTCATGGCATCCAATATAATGACATCCTATAATAACGACATCCAAAAATAATGACATCCAATAATAATGCAATCAAATACTAATGACATCCTATATTAATGACATCCAATAATAATGCAATCAAATACTAATGACATCCTATATTAATGACATCCAATAAAAATGACATTCTATATCCAATACATTCCATCCAATACTAATGAAATCCTATAATAACGACTTCCTATAATAATGACATTCTATAATAATGCCATCCAATAATTATGACATCCTATAAGAATGCAATATATCCCAATACTTGACTTTTAAACAAAATAGTTTTAGCATCCTGATCTGATGACTAAATGAAAGAAAAATCAGAAAATCTCCTAAAAGAAAAATTACTTCATCAAAATATTTGTTTCAAAAGTGTATATTTCTAAAAAAAAAAAAAATTGCTTCATATGCAAGATATGTATTGCTAAAAGTAAATTTTTTAAAGTTCTGATGGCGACTTTGTAGTCATTCATTTCTGAGCGAATTTAAAACTAAAAAAAAAACGGAACAGTGTCTTTCATGATTCAATTTGTCTGTGGAATATTTGAAGACTCTGCATGGGCAGATTTTACGAATTAACTATTTAGGTACAAGTAAAAATTCCATTTATTTCCAGCTAATAGGTTTCAAAAAACAAATTTTTTTTTATTTAGGCCTACACATTATCTAGCTAACAAGGATTTGTCTTATTTTGATAATTTAATTCACTGACTGTTGTGAAGATATATTTAGGGATTATGAAAATACTTTGATAGCTTCAGGCCAATATGTAAGCTCTTTGTGCTATTGGAAAAAAAAAGATATTTTCATAATGCCTTTTAATGTGTATTGATAAATACTAAAACCATGCTTTTAGCATGAATTAATTGTACTCCAACCTATTAATCATCTTACATAATTATTTCTAATTATTTATGAGCAGCCTAGAAAACTCTGTGTCCAAAATAGATAGCTCACTTTACACTTCAAAATAACTACGTCCCAGCTTAAATCAAATTACGTCCAACACTTGCAGAATAGATGTATACACAGTATTCGCTTTATTTTGAAAGCCATAGATTTCACACAATATTTCTGTGTTTTCATATTTAATTTTATGGCCCGCTAAAATTTTTCCTATACGTTTTTGGACCGCTTCCTAAAAATGTTTAGACGGGGGATGGCAACGGACAGGAACACAGGACCATCGAGAGAACCGAACGGCTTGAAAAAAAAACATTAAGGTGGCGATGGTGACTTTTTACATGACATAATATACAAGTCAGTTTCTTAAGTATACCGGTAACATTATTAATAATATATAGTTAAGTGTTTGCATCGCTTGAAGCTTTTGATAGTGGCATTGCGTCGTGCAACTTGACAAGTTAGAAACATTTTCCCCTGGTTGCATCAGACGCAATCGTCCAGTCTCATGAATGGAGGTGGTCATTCAGTGGCAGTTTTGATCCTCCAAGCTTGTTCCAACTATTCCTCTAGAGCGGTGGTCATTCAATGGCAGTTGTAATCCTCCAAGCTTGTTCTAGCTATTCCTCTAGAGCGGTGGTCATTCAATGGCAGTTGCGATCCCCCAAGCTTGTTCCAACCTTTCCTCTAGAGCGGTAGTCATTCAATGGCAGTTGTGATCCTCCAAGCTTGTTCCAGCTATTCCTCTAGAGCGGTGGTCATTCAATGGTAGTTGCGATCCCCCAAGCTTGTTCCAACCTTTCCTCTAGAGCGGTGGTCATTCAATGGCAGTTGTGATCCTCCAAGCTTGTTCCAACTATTCCTCTAGAGCGGTGGTCATTCAGTGGCAGTTGTGATTCTCTAAGCTTGTTCCAACTATTCCTCTAGAGCGGTGGTCATTCAATGGCAGTTGCGATCCCCCAAGCTTGTTCCAACTATTCCTCTAGAGCGGTGGTCTTTCAGTGGCAGTTTTGATCCTCCAAGCTTGTTCCAACTATTCCTTTAGAGCGGTGGTCATTCAATGGCAGTTTTGATCCTCCAAGCTTGTTCCAACTATTCCTTTAGAGCGGTGGTCATTCAATGGCAGTTTTGATCCTCCAAGCTTGTTCCAACTATTCCTTTAGAGCGGTGGTCATTCAATGGCAGTTTTGATTCTCCAAGCTTGTTCCAACTATTCCTTTAGAGCGGTGGTCATTCAATGGCAGTTTTGATCCTCCAAGCTTGTTCCAACTATTCCTTTAGAGCGGTGGTCTTCACTCGTTCTTTACTCACCGTCCCCTTTTCGTAGGTTTCGCCCAACAGAATCTGTTCCATTTTATTTCTGTCACTATGGAGGGGTCACTTCATAGAGCTGGTCTATTTCTTGGTTGGTTCGAATCCTCCATGCAGTTTCCTCATGTATGGCACCATACTTTTTTAGAGGATTTTTCTTTTCCAAGAATTTAGCAGATTTTCTGTGTTTTTTTTTTTGTTTTGTTTTTTTGTCAGCGTCCAGGTTTCACTTGCCTATATGACCTACAGGTCATACCATTGGTTTTGTACATTGTTTTCTTAGATATAAGTTTGTTTTTAAGTATGTGCTGTATGCTATAAATGGACCTTTGTATTACTGCTTGTCATTCCTTATCAAGCTTCCTAAATATTTCAACGTTTCTACGCTTACAAACTTGTGGTTAGTAATTGAATATGTTGTTCTTCTGCCTGATTTTCTCTTCCCCCTCCCTGAGACAACTACTTGTTAAGACACGTGAGAAGACCAATTTAAATAAAATGTTACATTTATTTGATGACTTTCAGGCTGTCAGTATCGTTAGATCGTTACTTTTCAAACTAGTTGCCTAGTAAAAAATTCTGTCAGTATCGTTAGAGCGTTACTTTTCAAACTAGTAGCCTAGTAAAAAAAATTCTGTTAAATAACTTAACAGAGATTACACACACATGCACCTAATGACTCTCATTCCATCAATATCATGCGTTTTTTTTTCTCTATTGTTTAGGTTTAATTAAAATTAGAATAGATCAATTAGATTAAATTAGAAGCTAGATTTAATTTCTAATTAAGTTTTAAATTTAATATAACTATTAGTATAATAATAATAATAATAATAATAATAATAATCTTTATTGTCCGTATGGAAATTCGTGTTATTGCTTGAAGTCACACACACGTACACAAACTAAACAAACAAAAATTATGGGAACATTGTGTCTCACGCATTAGAACACTATTAGAAATGTCAGGCTTTAAGATAGTCAAAGCAATGCTACAACCAGGCTGTGTCTTTCTTGCTCGATCAGTTTGGTACAGCAACCCCCCCCCCCCCCCCCCGCCCAGTTTTGAACTACCTATGTTAAGGACAATGCTAAGAATAATTCCAATTATGACCACAGTTTTGGTTTTTAAGAAAAAATACTTCAATGCAGCCATATTTCTGTTGCACCTCCTATGTTCGAATTTTTTTTTTTGGTCAGAATACCTGCTCTATGTTCTATAGGCCGACATGGTTTCCTAGCCTCATTGGAAAATGTTTTCATGCTAATTTGACTCAATGGAATACATGTATCTAGTGGAGACTCAATCAAACCCACGGAATGATAGGTAACTGCATACTGAGGAGTGATTCGCTTGGCCGACAATGTCAATGTTTTCATTGTTCACTAAACGTGAAATTGTTCTATTCCTATGGTACTCTATAATCTGAATAATCAAGATTTACATATAAATTGTAACGCTCTAACGATACTGACAGAATTTTTTACTAGGCAACTTATAGTTGCATAAAACATAGTTTTGTTATGGGTATGCTATACTGTACGTGAAATAAAGTCTACTTTATAATGATAACGATTCCTATTTATACATTAATAAACGCTTACGTGTGTAAGGCATATCTACAAAAAACAAAAAAAAAAAAACACTGCCTGCTTGCAGGTAGAAAAAAAAATTAACAATGGAATATTAATACAGATTGTGGGAAGCGTGGTCGAGAGGCCAAGTGCGCTTGAACTTAGCTTGACTTGGCTACCTATAGGTTCGACACCCTACTCGGGCAGAGTTGTGTTTACTGAACGCCATAAGGCAGCACGGACAACCTTCTCCTAGATACCCCCTCTCCCCCTCCCCCACTGGTCCACAAATGAGATTGGACCAAAAGCGCTCTGAGCATGCTTTAAGCATGAAATTAGCGCTATATAAAAGCTATAATAATAATAATCATAATTCCACCTCCCCCAAATGTTGTTTCTGAATGAAAAACAAACAAATTAGAATTTGTCTATCTTCACCAGCGTTAACTTTGAAGAAATTGTTGTATTCATTTTGTTTCAAAGCACCTCTAGTTCCTTCTTTCATCTTTGCGTTCTCCTTTTTGTGCTCATCGACCCCCCTCCCCCATAAACCAACCATTTGGCTCCCATTTTAATGAAATCGCCCCCCCCCCCCCTAAACCACTGCCCTACAGACTAGATACATTGTTTTCTAGCTTCCTCTTAGAGAAGTCACTTTTGCGGATGTTAAGTATTGCATATACAGGTCTCTTGGAGACTGTATGAGAGAATGTTAGTCAAATCCTGCAAGCTGTCGGTGTTCATTGTTCGATCTGGCAGCATTTTTTATAAGAAGGGTTTAGCCGCAACAATCTGAGTGTGGGCTTGCTACCAAATTGAAACCCTATCGCGTTGATACTACTTTTGAGAGGAGCTAGTGAAACGATATATAGATATAGTTACATTTCTGCAGTGAAACAGTTTCCGGTTTTGTTTTTTTTATTCAGCACTCTGGAGATATTCATAAATGAAGGCCATTGCTATTCCTCTATATAACTGCCACTTAACTTAGTTAACCAAAATGCCTAGTATATAATCTACAGTCGAATAAAATTAATTGTTTTAACTAAACAACTCATCTGGAAGTCAGACATAATATCAACCAAAGCAAGCCAATTTATTTGATCTTTATTATAAAATCAGTAATTCAAACAGGACATTGTATTTAGAAACAAAACAAAACACAAAAACATTTTTTTTACTTTATTAAAGATTTATATACAAATGGTACAATAAGGCTTTTCCAATTCATTCACAATATTATACATTTAAAAAATTGAAGGGTTTGATTAGACCCCCCATTTAACCATTTCATACATTCATTCTGTCTTACACACACACATAAAAAACTGACGAGGTATATGTATATATAAAAGACGTACATCTAACGACATATTGCAACTGAAGAAAAAAGACCACTTCAAATACACAGGAATGTCAGGAGGGTCAGATTAGGTTTTATAATACAGTATCACATTGGTCATCACCCTTCAAGACAAACCCAGTTATTAAGTGGCCTGGCTTTTTACAATTAAATGAGCTGGTTACTCATTAGCTTTGATGAAGACATTAAAAACTAAAAAGAAAAAAAAAAGAAAAAAAAAATTGACTCAACTTTTAACCAAAAAAAGGACAATTTTTTGACATGAATACACTAGTCATCAAGATGTTTCCAAAACTGAAGTACTTTACTGGTCACAAAAAAAAAATGTTACACTAAAAGCAAAACAAATAATACAAAAAAAACTTCTGAGTGGAATTAAGAGTGTGCATGTCCTCACCAACCTCTTTGTTATCACAGCATCCAGAGGAACCCACGGTGTACTGAAAGACCCTGAATAGTTCATCAAACCATCACAATACTTTAGCAGGGACTAAGAAATTTTCATAAACAAAAATATCAATTCCAAAGTCAAAAAGCAATCCCCAGCCCCAAAATTTAATTCTTTTTTCTTTAGGGTAGTGTGTTTACACCCAGATCCCAATTATTTGTGTCAACCCCAATAAAAAAAACAAAAAAAACTTAGAAGCATGCAGCTTTAGACATTTGACATGGATATACCGGTACATATAAAGGCTATATTAGACATGTCAATGACAGGTTCAACTGAGGTATGTCAAGAAACGAGAAAGAAAAGAAAGAAGCCACACCTAGACATTAGCCATTCCCAGCAGTGCTTCTCACATTTTCCAAATGGAAGGATTAGAAACAGGAGACTCTTGCATTGTTTTTATTAATACAGATTGAAAGTCAGTGTTGACATGTAATAGCAACACACACTGTACATAGGTACTAAACAATTACGTGTGATTACTAAGGAGCTAATGAGTCGGTTAATAAATCTATACACCAAACAAAACAAAAAAAAAAAAAAACAATGGTGCAAGCTTCAATTATGTACACAGAGATAGGCAGATACAATGCAGAAACTACAGATTGAATTTATTTGATATAGAAATCTAACTATATAAATATATATATATATGGAACATTTCATGACTATAGTAAGGCTTCCTCAATAGGGAATTAAATTTGATGTTTTCATTGAGCTATGACTTTATTTTTTGACACTTCAAAAATCAAAACCAAAATTTAAAAAAAACTTAAAATGGTTTTTGTCTACACATACCTGTGCATAAGCCAATCGGAACAAAATATTTGAAAATAAACAATCCACAAAATTTATTATTGATTTCACAATAAAATCAAACTGTAAGACAATTAGATTGTACATATGCAAATGAGACATTTAGATTAGAAAAAATGACGTACATTAATTTGTTACTTGGTAGTGAACAAAAAAAGGACTTTATCTTAGCTCACAAATATAAAACCATGTCTGAATCACCTCTTTCTTTTAAAGTTTCTTTCCAAGTACGAAATTTAAAACTTGTGAACACATAATTCTATTATACATATATACATATATATGTAAATCTATACATACACATGCATATATGTATATATAAACCAAAGAAAAAAAATTGGCCCCACTTAAAAAAAAAAAAAAAGACCACTGGCCACATCACAGATAAATAATAGTTTATTGTGGTCCTGGGAAGGCCTGAGGCTCAGACGCAATGATCTGGTCTATCACATTGTATATTGTACAACACCTCCCAAGACCACAACATGCAGGTCAGTTACATTGGTGTCAAAGCTTGGTTTAACACTTTCTACACAAGATTTGAAGTCAGCATGTTTTTGATGGATGCGATTGGTTCACTGACAAAACTGTGGTTATACAAAAAATTATATAGAATAGATCTATTAAAAAAAGTATAATTTAAATATTTCATGAACACATTCTGTTAAAATATAAATACTTTTATACACATTTAGGATGCTACATTTTTTTACGTATTCTAAAGAACCGAATGTGATCTTACTTCGGCAAGCTTTTAAGACATGAGACAATAAACAATTTATTTCGTTGCTTCATTAATTGAACACAGGATTAGACGAGCGTCTAGTTTTCAAGTCAAAGATAAGAAGATTCTGTTCAATGCTAACTACTGTAACTAAAATTGAAGATAATATATTCATGATAACTTGTGAAATTTGTGCAACCCACAAGATGGCAGCATAAACAAAAAAGATAATATCCCCATCAACAAGTTTGCTAGCCATTCCATTTGCAGAATAAGCATCTAACAGAACTAAAATAAGATAATGCTACACATATAAACAAATTAACGTGTTTTTCATGACTGCATTTTATACGCAGTACAAAATTTTTTAATTTTTTTTTTTATGTAGACACAACATTCACTATTTTTGATGGTCAAAGAGAATGATTTAAAAAAAAATTATGACCATTGAAGTTGGCCACATTTAGTTTTCAATATACATCTTCATGGAAGACTTAAATAGAGCAACAAAAAAACATTCTCTGAACAGAGGGAGAAAAGTAGTACAAATTTGGCAACAACTACCTCACACCCGCATTGGGTGTTAAAAATTTTTTATTATCCATACGAATCCATTGTTAATTCCAGCGGTAAGGTATTTTAATCATTTTTAAATACTTTTTAAATTTGTTTAGTCCACATAAGGATGCTACAGAATAAAATCACTGTAGGCATTTCTTTGACGAAGTGGAGAAGTAGCTTGTACATCCTTGATTGGAGAGCTCATTTTTTTAGGTCAATTTTTAAAAAAACTAAGATGAACATTTCCAAGGCATAGAAGCCAATCAGGAGAGACTCAAGGAGCAGCGACAAGATACCTTTCAATGAAGGATCACGCACCATAGTAAGTCAGGATGCTAGGGTAGTTTCATTACAGCCACCAAGGTCAATACATAACTGGCACTGGTTTCTGAACACTGTCTACAGCCATTATGTTGATCTCCCTGACGTCTGTAGGAGTGGTGGGCTGCTCCTGCTTGTGAGAGTCTTGCTTTGTTGGAGTCTGGCTCTGATTATACGCAGACATGCAGTTACGAATGGTCTGCTCTACCTGTTCCACGCAACCTCTAATTAAATCCTGAAAACAGACAAATTAAAAGTTAAACAACTGAAAGAATCAACATAGAAAGACAGTTAAGAAATGAAAAGGATGTTACAAATTTACTTTAAGAAAATCCTCACCATATCATTGCCCGTAATGGCATGCAATGTCATTAATTCAGTTCCTGACTCGCAATTCAAATTCCTAAATGCTGTACCTATAGCAGCACAAGCAATCATTGAAGGTGGGATCATCATGAATTTAGAATCTGAGAAGAAATAATGTTCAAGATATTATTATATAATTAACTGTATACCATTGACAAAGGCCAGACTAGTATATGGCCCTAACTTAATGTACATGGCAGTACAAAACCAGGAAAAGTAGGGCAAGTTTGCCTAACAAAGAAAGGTCATTTATTGCTGGCTGTAACAGGTGGAAAGCATATCTTTACTAAGGTGACTTTTATATTCAAATAAAAACTAATGCTAAAAAAAATTACATTTACACTAATATTTATTATTATTTTTATTTTCAAAAATAGGAATTGTTAAAAAAAAAAGTTTAAAAAATTAAGTTTTTGGTTAAAAAGGTTAACTAAAAAATGTTTTTTTTATTTAATGAACGAACATCAAATATCTTGACCAAACAAATTTATTTAAAGACTAGTACATCTAGTCCAAAGAACAAAAAAAATACCTGTTGCACACAAAGCAGCAAATGTTTGGGCCTGCTTTTTGACTGCAGTTAAAATGCTCTTGTTGTAAGACATCCGATGAAGTACATGGTCGAGAAAGTCATTGGGTACAATCGCAGACAGGTCCCACTTTAGAAGATGTAAAATTTGAGATTCCATATCCTGGAAGAAACAAAACAATTGCAATGATGATAAGCTAATGTACATTCATATTCTTGTTCACTATTCATGACTACAAAATGTGTATTAGTCTTAAATGGTGATGTATTATAATTTGTCATTATTTCTATACCATGATAGGTTTACACAAAAACTCAAGGCTGTCCATATACTTTCAGTTTGATAATAATAATGGCATTGCCTTCGATTCCAAAGATTAAGGATGAGTTCAGTGTTATTTGGTACTAGTAAATTAAAAAAGAATGACATGTGATATGTTTGTGCAGGCTATTAATGTAGATCAGTATACTGCATGAGTTCTCCCATATAATAGGAATGTTATTATGTAATGCTTTTGTGTCAACATCTTTGCTATAAGAGTGTTATCACATTGTTACAATAATATTTTAACATACCAATATTATATTTTTTTTAATGAAAATCTTATAGCAATATGTAGGTGTAATATAAAATTCCCTTGTGTACACACCGTAAGCTCTTCAAGTGTAATGGAGTTGTCTGTGTACATGACCAGCTGTTCACCGCTGATAGGGGTGGTCTCTTTTAACTTTGATGCCAGGAACATGCAGGCGGCTCCCAACAATTGCAACCGTGTTCTTTTAATATCCCTGATACAAAGAAATCTGTCCAAATAATTTACACTTAAAGGAAACACCTCTTCTTCCATCCTCTGTTCTGAACACACCTGTAACAAATGGAAAAACAAAGCCTATAATAGTCAATTTTAATGACACATTAATCAAGAGCACATTGTTTAATAATTATAAAATCTAGATAATTGTACACATACTTCAATAAATACATCTAAATACGAAATGAAATATAGAATCAATATCTAGATGTAGATGCATTAAACAATGAAAAAAAAAAAAAAGGCATTCTTAAATTACAACTTATACTAAAAGAATAATGAATTAATGGTAATCTTGATTACCTTGGTTCGATTAATTATAAATCTAGATTCTATGGTAGATCTATCTAGATCTGAATTTAGAGCTAAGTTTTTATCTGAAAAATTGTATCTAGACTAGAATTAGATCTAGATCGGATATTCTCAATATAGATTCTAGAATCTACCTTAGTTTTATAATGAATAATTGTCCTAGCTCTACATTTAGATCTAGATCTAGTCTCATATAAATCTGGATAACTCATTTAGTCATTACTGATTACTGTCATACATAGTCACAGTGTCAGTCTTGAGTTTGAAAATTGCAAATTTGCTATAAGTCATTTTTTTTAAAGACATACAGATGAATAAGACAGATCTAGACTCTGTGCACTACCCAAGGGCAAGCTGCAAATTGAATTAGCTGCAAAGCCGGTATGAAAATTTGGCCATGATTCATACCGCTCGTGGAATTTCAAGGCCTCCCAGCTGGTTCGGCCATATTGCAACCGGCAGGATGTCATTTTGTCTCATACAATTAAATAATGAGTCTACAGGTATTTAAAAAAAAGTGTAAGTGAAATTTTACACACGTAGACTCGATAAAGTAATCTAGAACAAGATTTTTGTAAGGATGATTAACAATGTTGATGATGTGGCAATATATCATTTATAATATGCAATGTCATAGACATAGTATTATTACTGAATTACTATTAAAATCAGTGAAATTTACCTCTGCCATCCATTCAGTGACCATTTTTCTCATGTATGGTTGAATGTCAGTTTGCACACAGTTGAAATAGCAAGTATGTGGAAGATATTTATCCTCTGTGGAGAGCAAATTCGTTAACACTCTGCTGTCATTCAATAAAACGGGGTCCTTGATGGCCCTGTGTGCTTTACCTCCGATATCAGTTTCGCAACAAACCAGTGAAAAGTGATCCATTTTGTATTATAAAAGCTGCAGATGAATCGCAAAACAGAAGAAAAAACACAGAATTGCTGATATTAATCCTAGAAATGTTCACGAATATTATTCCAAGAGGTGAAAGAAAATAAATATGAGGTAGAAATTGTTTCAATTCAGTTTAGGCCTCAGACAGCCGACACTGCCTCTATCGAAGCTAGGTTCTTAATACTTGCAAATGCTAGTGCTCAGCATTTATGTTTCAATG